AAATTATTTTAACTTTTTGTTTTGAAGCTGTATAATATTTATACAAATATATTTAATTAAATGTTTATTATAATCTGTAGTATAAATATTGTTGTAATGTAATTTATAAGATTTTATAAAAGGAATTTAATAATTAATTTAAAATTATAAACTAGTTAACTACTATTCTTTAGTTTTAATTTCTTATTTCAAGCAATTAAAATTAAATTAATGAAAAATAGCTAGCTAGTAAATTTAAAAATTAGTTTATAATTTTAAATTAAATTAATTTTTGAATTGAATTTAGTAATTCCTGTAAAGGTTAGGACCTTTTTTTTTGGGAAAAATACATTAGTTAAAATTTTATTTAACATATTGTAAAATGAAAATAACATATAAGCAGAAATATCTTTTACAAAATAATTTCATACAAGATCATTTTTGTAAAGTTTTGTTGAGAAAAAAGTAAGTTCTTGACACTTGGCTTACTTTGCAAATGTTTATATTTACCTGAAGGCTGAAAATCATTTTTAGGAGGCAGAATTCTGGCAGTCATTTCTATGTCTTGATTAAAGATGAATAATAAAAATATTAGGGTCCACCTGGACCAAGAGGTGAACGTGGTAGAGAAGGACCACCAGGACCACCTGTAAGTAGAAAAAGCACCTGTAAAAAATTAGCCTGATGTTTTTAAATATTGAAAAGAAAAATATAGAACAAAAATTATTCTCTTAGAAATTATAATTTTTCTTTCTTAATTTGATTGCTGTTTTATTTGTTAGCTTCTTAACTTCACTCCAGTTCTCTGGTCATCTGTAACCTTCTCAAATCTAATTTCCTAAAATCTGTCTAAAGAAACAAGATATTCTCTCTCTCTCTCTCTCTCTCTCTCGGAAATTCTATTAAAATCTTTTAGATGTTATGTCTCAAATACAATGTTTCAATTTTAATCTTGATAATTTATGTATTATAGTTTATTAATTAAGAATTGTGAAATCAGGAACAGTCATAAAATTAACTTTCATTTAGATTCTTGTTCTTGGTTTTGTCTATGTTTGGCCTTCTGTGTCTAGTCGTCTCATATCTACTTTCATACACTTTCATATATTAATAAAATGCTTATAGTTTAACTTAAGATTTGTTCGTGCTTGCTGATAATATTTTTATTCTTGAACTTTTTAAGATAATTTTTAAGAATATTTTAATTGGAAAGAGTGAATTGTATCAAATTAAATTAAATTAAATTTTATATAATTTTTCAAATAAAATATAAACTATTGTATACAAGGGGTGTTCAAAAAGTATCGGACCTTTATTTTTCCCACGTAAACCAATGATGCACGGGAGGTCTCTTTCGGTGAAGTTGTGGAGGGGACAGTCATGCACAGTCCTGAATTTTTTCTTGCTTGCAGGAAGCGTCAGTTGCTGGCAGTTGGCCTATGAGTGAGAATGTGTAGTGAGCGCTCGTCGGATTCCAAATTTGGAAAATGACTGAACAATGTGAGCAGTGATATTGCATCAAATTTTGCCAAAAGCTTGACAATACCCAAGCGGAAACCATTCGCAAGATTCAGCAGGCTTTCGGGGACAATCCTTGAGGCCAAAAAAAGCATGGCAGGTCCACAGCAATGTCAAGGTCAAGTTGACAGTTTTTTTTTACTCCCGTGG